TCTTGATTCAGAATAGCCATACTGAATGAGAGGAGCCCACATATGGAGACAGAAAACTATAAATCAAGGTGACCTTGTCTCCATGGAAATCAGGGACATCCTAATGGCTGCTCTATGTGACTGTCACTTTTATTTCCCTCCCTATGCTCACAAGGTGACCTTCCTTCCCTGGGTCAGCTACAGTCCCTGCAACTTGACCCCATGTTCCTCTGTCTGTCCTTCCTGTCTTGTTAAGGCTATGCTAGGCCCCCTTCCCCTTCCTTTCTGGCAGGGGTGGGGGCCCTGGGACTTCAGGGATGACCTCAGTACCAGCTGCTTCCAGGAGCAGGAAGGAGAATTGTTTATAGGTCCACAAGCTTCATTAACCAGCTGAAAGGAAGCTCCTAGCTGCCTGCAGGATCCAGATGGTAGGCTAACTCACTTGGGTTTGAGGCTGTGGCTGTCTGAGAGTGGGCCGAAGGCAGGGCTTAAAAGCAGGAGATTATTGTCCCCAAAAGCTTTTGGACCTGCATTTTTTTTTATACCAGGGATTGAACCTAAAGATGCTTAACCACTAGGCCACATCCCAAGCCCATTTTAATTTTTATTTTGAGACAGGGTCTAAGTTGCCGAGGCTGGCCCAGACTTGGGACCTTCTTGCCTCAATCTCTCAAGCTACTGGGATTACAGATGTGCACCACCACACCCAGATTGGACTTGCTTTTGGGAATTTGGTTTGGATAACTTCTTTTTTTTTTTCTTAAAAATCACATTTATTATTGATTTTATTTCTCATTGTGGGAAACTTATTCCTAAGATCCAGCTTGGTCTGTAGTCTATAATTCTTTCTTTCTTTTTTATTTTTTTAGAAAAAATACTCACTTCCTTTTATTTATTTATTTTTTAAACATCAGAAATTTATTAGTTGCTCAAAACATTACATTGATCTTGACATATCATGTATCATACATTTGTTTCAAATGGGGTATGAATTCTTATTATTCCCACGTGTACAGATTGCAGGATCACATTGATTGTATAGCCATGTTTATACATACTGCCGCACTAGTGTCTGACTTCTTAAACAGAAACCCAATAGAAGAAAGTGGTAAGAGCAGATAGCTGTGCATAAAGAGAGGCTAAGCTAGGGTCTGCTACACAGCTCAGGAAGCCCTCAGTGAAGCCATGAGACACAGCTTGAAACTGAGTTTGAGCTCAATCTTCCATATGAAAATAGGAAACTGAGGCTCAGAGCAGAAGAAACTCCTTACCAAGATGTACCAGGAACAGGATTCACTCTGTAGAGCACTGACCCCAAGCCTGGGCATCTGCTGCCTCCAACTGTGGCTGGCTAGGGAGGTGGGAACAGAGAGAGAACATTGCTAGTCTGAGCAGACTGCTTGGCTGGCTAAGTAGCTGGAAGAGGCCAGTAATCAGGAGACATTGTTGGAGATAGGGGACCAGGTAGACAGAGGGCAGGTAGAGAGACAGACAGACACAAGGGCAGACTGGCAGACAAGCAGGCAGTAGCCTGTGTTGAGTTGGATGCCTGCTCTATGGGGATGCTGGATGCCCTCTAGGTTTCAGCCAAAACTTGCATGCAATTAAATGAATGTGTTTTGTTCCCATTGGAGGCTGTGCTCAAGATCACCTTAGGAAAAAAGATGTTTCCTTTGGAGACGCATGGCTTAAAGGGAGGGAGAGCTTTCACCCCCATCCCTCTCTGCTAATAAAACAAATCTTATTTTAATAAAGATCCAAGCCCTCCAGCAGACAGTTCACCAGAAAGAATTACAGAAGATCAATAAACAAATGAAAAATTGCTCCAGTTTATTCATAATTAAAGCAATGTAAATTAAAGCCACAATGAGATAGATATCATTTTTCATCCATCATAATGATGTTTTTTTTAAAGAAATTCCATAATGTCTTCTGTTGATAAGGCTGTGAGGGAATAAACATTTACTTTACTTTGATGGATCCCTTGGATGGTGTTTTGTCAATACAACTCAGAATCATCAACCCACATGCCAGAACCTCTCTAACCACTTCTAAGTACCTGCTGGCCAGAACACATGTGCACATACGTGCAAGAAGTGTGTCCAGAAGCACTTGGCTACACTGTTTATGAAAGCGAGATGTTCTAGGAACTCAAAATGTCCATAAGGAGGTCAATAAAAGACCAGCAGAAGGAAGCAGCTGCCCTTGGGGGGTTTGGAGAAATTTGATCTGTTTTGACATGGGGAGATCCCCAAGGCACACTGCTTACTTAGAGTGGAAGTTGGAGGACAGCACATACCTCAGGCATAAGATTTCATTTGTATAAGATCTCTGCATGCTGCAACCATACAGTCATGCATATGAGTCAGATGTGCTCAAGATCCCTCTTCCCAGAGATATCTGTCTAACATAGAAGTGAGAAGAGCTTGCTGGCCTTTACTTCTGGAAGCCTGCCATTGGAGTGTTGGTCTCTGAAGTCCACAATACACACTTGGCCATGGACCGCCTCTTGGATGCAGAGACCATGTAAGACTTGTTAGATCTCTCTCCATGCCCTGCCCTTCAGGACTCCAAGATTAGCACACCACACAGTAGAGGCTTCTCAGAATGTTGGGATTGCAGGAGCTGAGGTTGTGACTCAGTAGCAGAGTACCTGCCTAGCATATATGAGGCACTGGGTTCCATCCTCAGCACCACATAAACATGAATAATAAATAAAATAAAGGTATTGTGTCCATGTACAACTAACAACATATTTTTAAAAGAATATTGGGATTGCAAGTTTAGGCCTATTTCCAAAGGAAATTATGATATAGAATTATGTAAAGGTTAACATGTTAGAAACATACTAAGGTACAAGTTCAAAGTCACACCATAGCAAATACTCTCTCACCTCCCAGCCTTCCTTGGCACCCAATGCATGAGGGGCAGCATGCTATTGGGTGGCACAGGGGGCTCAGGGGCTGGGAAGGAAGTCTCTCAATTCTCTTTGCTTGGCATAGGTAGAGGGTTCCTATGCCACCGGGAGCAATGCCTCCACATGCACTTGGGCACAGTGTTTCTGTTCCCACAAAGTCCCAGTGAGTCAAGGCCAGTTGGCAGCCAGAGGAAAATGTGGTTTGGAATCAGTAGATCAAGGTGCTCTGCCTAGCCAGTCCCAGTACTGTTCTGCTCTGCTGACTTATAAATCTCTCTCAATCTAGCTACTTTCTAGAGAGGACCATTAGTCCATTGACCATCAGGGAAAACAAAACGCAAAGAAGAGAAAGATTTACCCAAGGTTAAATCTTGAGGTCATAGGGAGGATGCAGGGACATAGGATTCCCAGATAAAATACAAGATATTGAGTTACATTTGAATGTCAGATAAATTATGAATACATTTTTAAGTGTAAGTATGTCCCAAATGTTGAATGGATCATAATAATGGCACTAAAAATGATTTGTTTATCTGAAGTTCAAGTTTACTTAGTGTCCTGTATTTTTATTTGCTCAATCTGGCGATCCTGGCTGGGCAGAAACATATGGCTCCAGCTTCTTGGACTTCTGAATCCTAGTGCACACAAATTGCAGCTTCTCTGCTCCTAAGGTGGCTCTCCAGAAAGCTCAGGTTTCACTGCAGCTGCTCAGCTGGAGTGGGAAGAGAAGAGCTTCTTTGGGCCCCTAGGAATGCAGGCAGAGCCTATGTCAGAGCTCTGCACTGGACAGGAGGGGAGGTAACCCCTGAACCTGTCACCCTCCCTCATCTGATCTTGGCTCTTCCCTTTTCTTTTCCTTTCCTTTCTCCCTCTCTTAATTCCTTCCCTTCCTCTTCTGCCTGCTTCCTCCTCCTTCTACCACCTGACCCCAGCTGTGCTTGATTCCTTTTACAGATAGCCTCCCCTTCCCTCAGGAGGTCTGGAATTGTTCCCTGGAGCCCAGCCTTGACCGTTGGTAGTTGTATCAATCGGAGGAAATGGAAGTAACAGGATGTATGTATGCCTAGATGCATAAGCATATACAGATAGATGTAAAACAATTGACGCACATGACAGTGGGTCTGAAATCTGTAGAACAGGCTGGAAATTTGGTAGGAATGGAAACTGAAATCCTGAGATAGGATTTCCTCTTCCTTAGGGAAACCTCAGCTTTTGTATTTAACAACTTCATATGATTGATCATGGTCCACCAGCTTATTGAAGGCAATCTCTTTTACTTAAAGTCAATTGATTATAGATGCTTACCATAATTACAAAATACCTTCATAGCAATGCCTAGAGTTGTATTTGATGGGCTCACTGGGGACTAGAGCCTGGCTGAGGTGACACCTAAAAAATATGTAGTGGTGTAATCTACTTGTAGGGAAACTGAGAGAGAATTGAGACTTAAACCAAGATTGCAGGGCCTAGGCTCCTGTGGCTACAGTAGTCCCCCCCCCCTCTTTTTTTGCCCTTGGATCTCATAGTTCCTGACCAGGCTAACTCAAATCAGGACAAGGGCATCTCCCTTGCCCAGGAACTTCAGACTGGGGGGGGCAGGACGTGGTGTGTTCTACAGAGAATCCCTTCTGATGGAGTGATGTGGCTTGGATTATTGGCCAGAGCTGGACTGACAGAAGCCATGATACACTTGGGACTTCACCCTGCTTTGGCCACTGACTGACTGTCAGATCCTGTGCCAGTCTCTGCCTCTTTTTAGAAATGATGGAGTTTGAACCCCAGTAGTCCCCCAACCAGCCAAATCAAAGGTTGTTGAACCAGAGCAGTTCTCATAAGCAAAGGCCCTGAGCTGTGTGTGTCTCTTCCCCTAAATTGCTTACAAAGTAGCAACAAAGAAGGACATAGCAGTCAACAAGGTACAGTAGGAACATAAAGTGCCTAGTCCAAGGTCTGAACCCAGGAAGGGAGTCTGGCTCCACCTGCCTTGTCAGGGTATATCTTCCTTGAGCTCTCACCCCTCGAAGAGGTGATTCTCCAGGCGCTTCCTCTGTGCCCTGAACCCTGTGAATCTTTAGTCATAGCTTCAAGTGAGTAACTGGTGGTGATGGCAGGAGGGCCCCCTAGCATGAAGGAGGAGATAGAAATGTGCATAGCTGGAGAAGTGGGGCCTGGAAGCCATGGGAAAACTCGAGACCAACTGGTGATAGCAGGTGAGGATACTTTAAAATGTCCCCTAGCATATATAGACCATGTAGGCATTCATCTACACTTGTGCTCGTTTGTGTTGGAGAAGGTACATGTGCCTCTGGGTGTGCTTTTGTGCATATATGTGTGTGTGTTTGCATGCATGCATACTTAGATGTTGTGTCTGGGTTTTGGAGTGTTTGTGTTGGTTACAGGGAACTGTGGGGAAAGTGATAAATAGATGATGATATAAGTCTTTTGTAGCCCAAGAGAGAGGAGGGTGAAACAACATGTATGGTTTCTCTGACTCCTTCCATCTTAGGCACCCCTGTGTCTATTGCAAAATATTTGGAGGGCTTAATTTTTTTTAATAAATCGATTAATTCTGTCTCTGAATCCTCTCTTGTCTTTTAGTCAAACCCAAATCATGCAATGTACAAGATGCATTCAGGGCCTCCTTAACATATTCTCTGCTCAGGCAATGTTTGTCCAGTGCGCAAGTTCCCCCCCAACCCCCCGACCCTGCAGTTGTGTTTGTTCTTAAAACATCTCAAGCTGTTTCTCCTCACAGCCTCTGTGCTCCCTGTTCCCTTGGTCTGCTCTTTTCCTCAGTTCTCAATTTCCCATGTTTGGTTCTTTTCAGATCTGTTTCCAGTCTCTGTATCAGTGCTGACTCCTACTTTTCTAGAACTTGCTTTATCTTTCCACCATGTAACCTGTTTTGTCATTTATGGAGCCATCATTTCTCTGAATTTGTGCTGATGGGTTGTTTTTTGTTGTGTACTTCCCACTCGCTCTTATACACAAGCAGATGGTTCATTGATGTCTGGGATCTTGCGTCTTGCTCTTTGCTTACTCTGTCTAGTAACCTAGGCCAGAACTTGGCCTTCAGTATATCATTATTGAACTTTTGAACAGATGAATAAACAGGTCTGGGATCAGTAGTGGTGAATGGGTCTTGAGCGAATCTTAAGAACTTTGGGGGCACTGTCTTCTTTCTGGTATGTCTTAACACCCAGGAAGCCCCGGTATAACTTCTATGGGTGTTCTTGAAGGTCTCTGTTCTTCTCTCTAGAAATGATGGAGCATGGATCCTGGTCACTAGGTGCTCCCCAGAGGCGACAGAAGTTGGAACCAAAGGCTTCTGGTTCTTCTGCAAGCCAAACAGTTTGGACTATGGGTGCTACCCGGCCCAAAAAAATTGGTACTGTCTGGGATCTTGGACACATGGTGACTGGGTTGGGGTTTTCAGTGCTGGTTATAGAGGCTTCTGCCTGACCATGGTAAATAAAAAAGGGCTAAAAGTTGGCCCTCCATATCCACAGATCCTGCATCTGTGGATTTAACCAACAATGGATGGAAAATATTTGGAGAAAAAGGCATCTGTACTGAACACAAAGGCTTTTTTGTCATTATTCCCTAAACAATACAAGGACTATTTACAAAGCGTTTAGATTGTATTTGGTTTTAGAAATTATGTGGAGATGATTCAAATTATGCAGGATGATGTACATAGGATTTATGTAATTACATCATTTTATATACGGGGCTTGAGCATCCACTGATTTTGGTATCCATGGAGGAAGGGGAGTCCTGGCATTTTCACTGTGGGTGAGGGAAAGTTTTGGAAAAATGGTTGCTATACAGTAGCAAGAGTTACTAGAAAAAAGGCAATCAGGTTGAAGGAAAGGGGGAACTGATTGTTACAAAGAATCAAGTTTTGCCTTCAGTTTTCTAAGCTATATTCACCTTGGGTGAGGAAGTTTAGAAAAATGGTTTTGTTACAGTGTTGCAAAGATTACTGGGAAAAGACAACAAGGTTGGAGAGGGAGTGAAAACTGACTGTTCTAGGGCATTTCTGAGTCTTGGAATTCTGTAGCCAATCTTTTCACATACACTGTGGGGTGACGGAATATTCTAGAAAAATGGCAGCTACATTGTTGCAAAAAAAGGCAGCCATTTTTCAGAGGAAGGAGCCATGACTGTTATAGGATATAGCTATAGGATTGGTTAAGTTTGTAACCAATCCTGTCAGCTGTATTTGGATGAGTGAGGGAATGCTTTTAAAAAGTGTAAGTGGTTATACTTTAATAAAAGTTACTGAGGGGGCTGGGGTTGTGGCTAAGTGGTAGAGCACTTGCCTGGCATGTGTGAGGCCCTGGGTTTGATCCTCAGCATCACATAGAAATAAATAAATAAAATAAAGGTCCAACAAAAACTAAAAAATACATTTAAAAAAGTTACTGAGAGAAGGCATCAAGTTTGCAAAGAGGGAGATCTGGTTTCTAGGTAAAGGATTATAAGGCTGAATTGGTTCAAGCTCTGGTGAATAACAAGAAAAGGGCCTTCCAGGTCAGTGATAAATATTAAATTAGTGTTCTGGGTCTAAAAACTGAAGCCAAATTAAGTTGCTCCAGGAATCCAGGCTTTAGGAAGCCACTCATGATACTGAGACTGAGGGGGATATAATAGCAGGATTAGTGAACATTTAGCCATAGGGCTAGAGGAGGGCAATGCTTAAGAATTAGAAATGCAATTTAGAAGTCTAGAATTAAGAACTCTAATTTATTAATACTATTCATTCACTCATCTGCTTACTTTAGAATATGATGATTAATAGAATGGTTGGTGCCTCTGGGAAAACCCCAATATGCAAGTTAAAAAAAATTAATAATACTATCCTGCTGATTTGGGGAGGAAAGTAGTGTTCCTTAAAAACATAAGGAACATGTTTAAAAACATGTTTAAGAAACATAAGGAAAATAAGAATAACGATTTTTGACATAATTAACAAGGAAGTTGGCATGTGTTTCAATTAATAGAATTTCCTAGTCTTAATCATATATATATATATATATATATATATATATATATATATATATTTTATAGTTGGGTTTATTTTTATTTTTTTAGTAGTTCTAGATGAACACACAATATCTTTATTTTTATGTGACGCTAAGAATTGATTCCAGTGCCTCACACATGTGAGGCAAATACTTTTTTACTGAGCTATAGCCCCAACCCATATATATCTATATATTTATATCTATCTATTTCTCTCTATATATATCTTATATTTTATAATGTATACCCAAAAAGTAGTTCTAAAATTAAAAATAAAAAACAAGGGGCTGGGGTTGTGGCTCAGTGGTAAAACACTTGCCAAACATGTGAGAGGCACTGGGTTTGATCTTCAGCACCACATAAAAAAAATAAAATAAAGATAGTGTATCCAACTACAACTAAAAAAATTTAAAAAAACCCAACAATACAGAGGCTTGGGCTGTGTAGCTTAGTTGTAGAGTGCTCATCTAGCACATGTGAGACCCGGGGTTTGATACTCAGCACCACATAAAAAATAAATAATAAAGATTTTGTGTCCATCTGCAACCAAAAAAA